AGAAACGTGTTTCTAACTCACTGATTCTAAACATAGATGCAACTTCCTAAGGTGAATGAACACACAACAGAGCACTTTGAAATATACGTTTCTCCTGTGTTTTAGATGCAATCTTCCTGCTAATTGTTATATGTCTTTATATGGCTGGAAATGCCTGTTTATAGATTCTACAAAAAAGTGTTTCTGAACTGCTGTGTACACGAGTTTAACTCTTTAAGTTGATTGTACAATCATTCAGCTAGATAACTTGAGTTTTTTTAGAGAGTGATATTTCTCATTACTGCCTATACTCCCATTCACTCCGGAATATCCAAACTCAGCTTTTAGAAGAAACGTGCTTCTAACTCACTGAATCTAAACATAGATGCAACTTCCGAAGTTGAACAAACGCACAGCAGAGCAGTGTGAAAAATACGTTTCTTCTGTGCTTTAGCAGTAGACTGACTGCTAATTCTTATATGCCTGTATATGGTTATTAACGTCTGTTTCCAGATTCTCCAAAGAATGGGTTTGAGAACTGCTGCATACACACATTAGTTTAACTCTGTAAGTTGAATGTGCACTTTGAAAAACATTTTGCTAGATAGATCCGTTTATGTTTTAGAGCCAGACATTTCTTATTACAACATATACTCCCATTCACTGTGGAATATCCAAACGCAGCTTTTAGATGAAACGTGTTTCCAACTCGCTGAATCTAAACACAGATGCAACTTCCTAAGGTGAACAAACACACAGTAGAGCAGTATGAAAGATATGTTTATCCTGTGTTTTAGATGCAGCCTTACTGCTAATTCTTATATGCCTGCATGTGGCTGGAAATATCTATTTGTAGATGCTCCAAGGAAACGGTTTCTTAATGGTTACATACACACATCAGTTTAACTGCGTAAGTTGAATGTACACCTTGACAACCATTCTGCTAGATAGCTCCATTTTGTTTTAGAGCCAGATATTTCTCATTACAGCATATACTCCCAATCACTCTGGAATATCCAAACGTAGCTTTTAAAAGAAACGTGTTTCTAACTCGCTGATTCTAATATAGATGCGACTTCCTAAGGTGAACGAACACACAGTAGAACAGTTTGAAATATTCGTTTCTCCTGTGTTTTACACATAGTCTTACTGCTAATTCCCATATGCCTTTATATGGCTGGAAATATCAGTTTCCAGGTTCTCCAAAGAAAGGGTTTCTGAACTGCTACATGTTTTTTTGGGGAAAGTGATTTGTTTTTATTTTTACAGTGATCACCTGTCAAACTGTTCTGCCGTGTTTTAGTTCCCAAACGGGGTTTCAACAGTCTTAGAAATTCAATGGTCTAAGAAGTGCAGTTCTTGAGTCCAACCTCCTGGAAAAGTGAAGTATAGAACTCTGGCTCCAACTCCTTGTTCCAGTACTTGTTGACAATGTTGGAGATTTTCTGTTTCCAGTGGACAAGGGGTGGACTGTAGAAGTCACTCTCCAGGCTCTTTCCTCTACAAATGTTAATTACAGTCTGCCTCACCAGAAAGCCAAGAGCTGGCCTGCTGACAATCATCCCATCCACAAGAGGGATGACCATGTTAAGTTTTCCAGTGGCTCCTTGAATTTTTATCCAGAATAAAAGCGTTTACAGGGTGGATGAAGATGACAGGAACTTCTTTTTCAAGAGTCGTAGATCTCAGCGAAGTGCTACTATTTACAGTAGTTTCCACACCAGTACTGATCTCTGTCATCAGCTCTGAGGGGGGAAAGTTCTCTATATCATCATAGCACTGCACCCAGACTACAGAAACTCTTGTCTCAGGTCCAAGGGGAGGAACAGGGTGACCCTGAGGCAGCTTCCTCAATCTGGAACTGGGACTGAGCCTCCGTGAGGAATTAAGATTGTCTGTATGATTGGGGAAAAGCTCAAGTGTCAGGGATGGCTGTTTCAGAATTCCTGGCATAAGATCCATATTTGAATCACTATCTTGGTCTGAGATGTTTCTTTCCAATGAATCAGTTAAGGACTCCTCAGGAGAAGGAACCACAAAAGCTATTTCCATAAGGGCATCAGCATAATACAGCACCTTCTTCTGTCCATTGTAAATGCTAGCTCCAATATCTTCAGAGGAAATCACTTCTTCTTGTTGAGATCCTTCACCATCATCACAACAATTAATAGACCAACTGGTGGAAACATGCGCAGTCCAACCAGGGTGTCTGCCCACATCAACTGACCAGCCAAGGGAAAGCAAAAATTCTAGGAAATGTGGCTGAACAGTTCTGGAAGACTCCACATTCTTTAAAATCTCTTGGTTAGTTTTCTGACCTGGCTTCGTATAGAAAACAAAAACTGTGTCAAAAGGACAACATGGCAAGAGATCCAGATACTCAATGTCATCAAGAAATCCCCGTATCGTGGAATCAAGTGCAATAAGGTGAGGGGGTAGATGACTATTTGGAGGTTCCTTTAATGCTTCTAAGGACAAAAATCCAAAGTGTGAGAGGAAAAGGCGGGCTGTTTGGAATTCCTGGGCAGGAAGCGGTGGCTTGCAATCTGTAACTGGGTCAGGAAAACTTCTCTTCTGCAATTCCTCCTTACTCTGTTGCTGAAGGTGCATTTCATAAGCAATCTGCTGGGCCATGCCACTCCTTAATTTTTCATGTCTCTCTTCTAATTCTTCAGTGACTATTTCATGCAAATCTGGAATGCTGAGATCTGCTTTCACAAAAGGAATCTTGTCCACCTCTTCAGGAAATGACCGATGTTTCACAGAATATTTAAATCCAACATCATTTTTAGAAACTGGGCGAGGTTCAGGCATAAAAAGCTTCTGATTTGCTTTTGCTCCTCTGGGTTAAAGACAAAGCTGTTGCAGCCAAGCAAGTCTTCCAGACATCCCCCAGACCAGCACAGTGACAGAGGGGAAAAAATCATTCTGCTCATTTCCAAGAGGTTGTTCCAGCATTGCCAGGATGACACTGTTATCCAAGACAAAGTACCGGAAACTATGCTTGTTTATGGTTGGCAGCCTGGAGTATTTAATCAAAGTGGTCTCATTCACAAGACTACAAGGAGAGGCAGGACCATTAGGTGAAGGGAATGTGCCAAGCAACTGCATAATGCATGTTAGGGTGGCTTCAGCAGCATTCTTTACCCTCATAGATGCAGGGTTTGGCTCCTTATCTCCTTTGTACTTGACCTCTTGCTCGCTGTGCTTGGACTTACTTCCTGAGATTCCCAGTTCCACAATCTCCAGTTCTTCCTTAAGGCAGTCCTTTTCATCAAGCATATCAGGGTGCTCTGTCAGCCAGACACAGACACACTGAAAAGCTGCCACTATCATGGAGTGTAGATCCCTGGAGTGAAGAGGAGCTGGCCGACTACACTGATAAACAATGTAGCTGCACACAGAACTGATGGCTCGCTTCCGGTCTCCTGAGTCAACCATCACCTTTACCTTTGCAAGGCCAGAGAGGAGGTCTAGAGCTGCCAGTGCAAGACTGTGTACCAGAAGGCGCTCAACCTGGACTCCAACTGTAAGGAGGCGGCAGATGGCTACCAGCGCTGTATGATGGTGCATTACAACCAGCATGATAGCCCCAAATATGTGAAGTGACAAGCCATGGCCGACCCCGAGGTACAAGAGATCATGAGTGACCAAGCCATGTGCCTTATCCTGGAACAGATGCAGAAGGAACCCCAGGCACTCAGCGAACACTTAATGAATCCTGTAATAGCAGAGAAGATCCAGAAGCTGATGGATGTGGGTCTGATTGCAATTTGGTGATGACTTGTTCAACCCTCCTTCCCTTCGCCCTCATGTGGAACAGGAGCTGGGGACCACGGTAGCAGCATGGAGCGGAAGGGAGAGCAGGGAGAAAGAAGGCTTCATCTCGATATTTATACATAACCCCAGGAAGACACAGAGACTTGTAACTGGCACTGTTCATCCCGCCACTGCTTCTGGGCCTTCCCAGCATATGCATGGTCTCTTCACCGCTGCCCTGGAGTTCAGTGTCTCCATCCCCTACCCCTAGTCGCTGGCTCAGCCGCTGTCCCATAGTTGGCTATTTTTTTATTTGGGGCAGTGGGCATGTAGGGGGAGGGAAGCTGTCTCATGTTTATTCCACAACACCTTCTCCAATAAAACAAGCTAGTCGGGCATGGTTATAAAAAAAATGAGTTTAACTCTGTAAGTTGAATGTACACCTTGACCACGATTCTGCTAGATAGCTCCGTTTTTGTTTTGGAGCCAGATATTTCTCATTACATCTTATACACCCATTCACTCTGGAATATCCATACACAGATTTTAGAAGAAACGTGTTTCTGACTTGCTGAATCTAAACATAGATGCACCTTCCTAACATGAATGAACACACAGCAGGACAGGTTGATATATACGTTTCTCCTGTGTTTTAATCCTAGTCTTTCTGCTAATTCTTATATGCCTGTATATGGCTGGAAATATCAGTTTCTAGATTCTCCAAAGAAAACGTTTTTGAACTGCTGCATACATACATCAGTTTACCTTGTACGTTGAATGTATATCTTGACAAGCATTCTGCTAGATAGCTCCATTTTAGTTTTAGAGCCAGATATTTCTCATGACAGCATATACTCCCATTCATTCTGGAATATACAAATGAACCTATTAGAAGAAAAGTGTTTCTAGCACTCTGAATCTAAACATAGATGAAACTTCCTAAGGTGAATGAATACATTGCAGAGCAGTTTGAAATACACTTTTCTCCTGTGTTTTAGATTCAGTCTTACTGCTAATTCTTATATGTCTGTGTATAGCTGGAAATATCCGTTTGTGAACTGCTGCATACACACATCAGTTTAACTCTGGAAGCTGAATGTACACCTTGAAAAACATTCTGATAGATAGCTCCGCTTCTGTTTTAAAGCCAGATATTTCTCATTACAGCATACAGCCCCATTCCTTCTGGAATACCCAAACGCTGCTTTTAGAAGAAACATGTTTCTAACTCGCTAAATCTAAATGTAGGTGCAGCTGCCTAAGGTGAATGAATACACAGCAGAGCAGTTTGAAATACACTTTTCTCCTGTGCTTCAGACTCAGTCTTACTGCTAATTCTTATATGCCTGTATATGGCTGGAAATATCCGTTTCTAGATTCCGCAAAGTAATGGATTCTGAACTGCTACATGCACACATCAGCTTAACTGTGTAAGCTGAATGTACAGCTTGAAAACCATTCTGCTAGATATTTCCGCTTTTCTTTTAGAGCCAGATGTTTCTCATTATAGCATATAGCCCCATTCCGTCTGGAATATCCAAACACTGCTTTTAGAGGAAACGTGATTCTAGCTTGCTGAATCTAAACATAGATGCAACTCCCTAAAGTGAACCAACACAGAGCAGACCAGTTTGAAATATACGTTTCTCTTCTGTTTTAGACTCAGTCTTACTGATAATTTTTATATGCCTATATATGGCTGGAAATATCAGTTTCTAGATTCTCCAAAGAAAACGTTTGTGAACTGCTGCATACACACATCAGTTTACTTTGTACGTTGAATGTATATCTTGACAACCATTCTGCTAAATAACTCCATTTCAGTTTTAGAGCCAAATATTTCTCATGACAGCGTATACTCCCATTCAACCTGGAATATACAAATGCACCTTTTAGAACAAACGTGTTTCTAACACTCTGAATCTTAACATAGATGCAATTTCCTAAGGTGACCATAAACACATCACAGGAGTTTGAAATATATGTTTCTCCTGTGTTGTAGACGCAGTCTTACTGCTAATTCTTATATGCTTGTATATGGCTGGAAATATCCCTTTCTAGATTCTGCAAAGAAAGGGTTTCTGAACTGCTACATACACGCATCAGTTTAACTCTGCATGCTGAGTGGACACTTTGAAAACCATTCTGATAGATAGCTCCGTTTCTGTTTTTAAGCCAGATATTTCTCATTACAGCTTATAGTCCAATTCTGTCAGGAATACCAAAACGCTGCTTTTAGAAGAAACATGTTTCTAACTCTCTATATCTACACATAGATGCAACTTCCGAAAGTGCACGAATACACAGCAGAGGAGTTTGAAATACACTTTTCTCCTGTGTTTTAGACTCAGTCTTTCTACTATTTCTTATATGCCTGCATATGGCTGGAAATATCCGTTTCTAGATTCTCGAAAAAAAAGGTTTCTGAACTGCTGCATTCACACATCAGTTTAATTCTGTAAGTTGAATGCACACTTGACATCCATTCTGCTAGATTGCTCCGTTTTTGATTTAGAGCCAGATATTTCTCATTACACCATATACTCCCATTCACTCTGCAATATCAAAACACTGCTTTTAGAAGAAACGTGTTTCTAACTCGCTGAATGTAAATATAGATACCACATCCTAAGGTGAACAACCACACAGCAGAGCGGTTTGAAATATATGTTTCTACTTTGTTTTAGACGCAGTCTTACTGCTAATTATTTTATGCCTGTATATGCCTGCAAATATCCGTTTCTAGATTCACTAAAGTAAGGGTTTCTGAACTGCTACATACACACATCAGTTTAACTGTGTAAGTTGAATGTACAGCTTGACAACCATTCTGCTAGAGAGCTCCGTTTTGTTTTAGAGCCAGATATTTCTCATTACAGCCTATACTACATTCACTGTGAAATATCCAAATGCAGCTTTCAGAAGAAACGTGTTTCCATCTCGCTGAATATAAACATAGATGCATCTTCCTACGGTTAACTAACAGACAGTGGAGCAGTTAGAAATATACGTTTCTCCTGCGTTTTAGATGCAGTCTTACAACTAATTCTTATATGCCTGGATATGGCTGGAAATATCCGCTTCTAGATTCTCCAAAGAAAGGGTTTCTGAACTGCTACATAAACACATCAGTTTAACTGTGTAAGCTGAATGTACACCTTGACAACCACTCTGCTAGATAGTTCTGTTTATGTTTTACAGCCAGATAATTCTCCTTACAGCATGCACTCCCATTCACTCTGGAATATCGAAACGCAGATTTTAGAAGAATCGTGTTTCCAACTTGCTGAATCTAAACGTAGTTGCAACGACCTAAGGTGAACCAACACACAGCAGAGCAGTTTAAAATATACTTTTCTCCTGTGTTTTAGACGCAGGGATACTGCTAATTCTTATATGCCTGCATATCGCTGCAAATATCCGTTTCTAGATTCTCCAAAGAAATGGTTTCTGAACTACTACATACACACATCAGTTTAACTCTGTAAGTTGAATGTACACCTTGAAAACCATTCTGCTAGATAGCTCCGTTTTTTTGTTTTAGAGCCAGATATTTCTCATTACAGCATATGCACACATTCACTTTGCAATATCCAAATGCAGCTTTTAGAATAAATCTTTTTCCAACTCGCTGAATCTAAACATAGATGCAACATCCTAAGGTGAACCAACACACAGCAGAGAAGTTTTAATGATATGTTTTTCCTGTATTTTAGACACAGTCTTACTGCTAACTCTTTTATTCCTGTATATCGCTGTAAATATCCGTTTCTAGATTCCCCAAAGAAAGGGTTTCTGAACTGCTACTTACACACATTAGTTCAACTCTGTAAGTTGAATGTACATCTTGACAACCATTCTGCTACATAGCCCCGTTTTTGTTTTACAGCCAGATATTTCTCATTACAGCATGTACTCCCATTCAGTCTGGAATATCCAAACACAGCTTTTAGAAGAAACGTGTTTCCAACTCGTCGAATCTAAACATAGATGCAACTTCCTAAGGTGAACCAACACACAGCAGAGGAGTTTGAAATATACGTTTCTCCTGTGTTTTAGACGCAGTCTTACAACTAATTCTTATATGCCTGTATATGGCTGGAAATATCCATTTCTAGATTCTCCAAAGAAAGGGTTTCTGAACTGCAACATACACACATGAGTTTACCTCTGTAAGTTGAATGTACACCTTGATAGCAATTCTGATAGGTAGCACCGTTTTTGTTTAAGAGCCAGATATTTCTCATTACAGCATATACTCCCATTCACTCTGGAGTATCCAAACACTGCTTTTGGAAGAAATGTGTTTCCAACTTGCTGAATCTAAATATAGATGCAACTTCCTAAGGTGAATGAACACACAGCCGGACAGGTTGAAATATGTGTTTCTCCTGTGTTTTAGATGGAGTCTTACTGCTAATTCTTTTTTTTTTTTATGATAAGTGTAAAATAACATGGAAAAATTACTTTTTCTTGCATGCTTACAATTTGTGTTGACATCAGTTTAAAATAGTTAATGTATATATTGTAGAGGTAGAAATTAATCTGGCAATAATTATTATTATTTTTTTATTTTTATTTTTTTTTAGGGATTCTAATCACTCACACCTGCTTCAGATCATTGTCCATGACACATCTATTCTGTTACCTTTTATTTTTTTAGAGTATGAAAGGGAGAAAGAAAGAAAAAGAATGAAAGAAAAAGAAAAAGAAAAAAAAGAATAAAGGAAAGGAAGAAAGAGGAAGAGGAAGAGGGAGAGAGAACAGGGGTGTTGCTTTATTGCCTGGGCTAGAATGCAGTCTTAAATTGGGTATGCCTGTAATTG